GAGGGGGAGGGGATCGAGAGCATTGTTGTTGCTGGTTTAATCACCGATCCTGAGTCAAACCGTGACAGGCGTTCAGCCTTCACTGTTAAAAGTGCACAGCTCACAACTACTTTGTATCCTATATTACCATTAGGGGGAATATTAGTTCATAATTATTGTTATATTAAATCTATTTTCATTTCAACCCACAGGTCTCCCTTCCTTTTCCCAATTCCCCTTCTCAGATTGGATGATAGAGCAACTGTCCCAACCATGACAATTGTGCACCTCTTTTTTTTCAACAGAAAGATTACAGAATCCTCTAGGAATTTTTCTCTAGGAATTTTATTTTTGGTTGTTTTTTTTTCTTGTTTTTCTAGACTTGCCTAATTAGTCTGTCATTGCACTGAATTGCAGCTTAATCGCACATGACTGGAATTCATCAACATCTCTTTGACAAGCAGCAATTAATGTGTTTTCCAGCATTGTTCAATCTTTAAACAATAAGCTGCCAAAATATCTGTTGAAAGAGAATTAAGGGAGCCTGAAACCAGGAAAGAAGGAACATCCAGGAATCAAGCTAGCTCTCTTGACCAACTTAATTTCTCAGATTTTGTGGAGAAGCTTATTGACACTTTCAGAATCCCACTGCACAGATGAGAGGACAATATTTTAGTCTCTCTAATCTCTCTGATGTTGAATCTGCATGAGGCTCCTTTGTGTCTTCTCTATTGTTTGATAGGAAAGAGGGGGTTTTCTTGCCATTTGTTAATAAAATTTCGGAATGTTTTATTTCTGTTTGATAAATTGTCACGGTTTGACTCAGGATCGGTGATTAAACCAGCAACAAAAATGCTCTTGATCTCCTCCCCCTCCCACCCAGGTAGGAGAGAGAATAGAAGGAGAGACTTTCCAGATTGAAAACTAAACTAGACCGCTTTAATTAAATACTAATGATAAAAGAAAAACGATAGGGTGCATTTGCCACTTTTTACCAGTGAGGCTCATATCAGCCTCCACAACAGTCAGTTCTTGACCTCCTGTCATGCCAGAAATAGTGACGGATTCTGTCCCTTGATGATTCGATGGCATTAGGGTGCACCGTGCACCAGTGTCCACCAAGGCTTTATACTTTTGTGGTTCTAACGTGCCAGGTCACTGAATCCACAGTCCAATAAACTTGGTTGTCCCTTTCCTCCTCCTGGCTGGAGACAGGGCACCTCTAATGTTGAGCATTAGATGTCAATGCACCATCCTGGTTGAAGGACCAGTTGCTGGAGACTGAAGCAGCCTTCTTCCTGGAAGGACCATCTCCTGCATTTGTTCTATTTAACAGCTCTTGTATGCATATCTGGAGAACAGCAGTGGTTTTATTGTTCCAGGTTATCATGTCCTCTTTATAATAATCATGCAAGGGAGACCACAGGTGGCATCAAAGTTGGTCCTGTCTCTCTCGTTGCTGTCTCGTAGCAGGATGTCTGCTCTTAATGACTGCAACACGAGCCAAATTGTCTCTAGGGAAGATACTGGAGTTTACCTTCCCATCTGTTTGGCATCTTATTCTTTCTGTCAGTCATTTTTTCAATGGCTGACGTGTGGAAATGACAATAATAAGAGAACATATCTCAGTATTTTTGTGCTTTGAAAGCCAGCTCATGCACAGTTGGTCTTAAGTAGTCATAAAAGCATCCCATGAAAGAGAATGTATGGGCATGTGCTCCTGTTACAGCCTGCACAAACCTCCAGAACATGGCATTTCACACAGAACGTCATCAGGTTATCATAGATCACCTCTAGCACAGATAATTCTCTCAAATACATGATGGCTCTTTCAAGAGTGGGCGTTCTGGTTCAGCGCCAGTCAATGTCATCCTTATGGGGGCATCTCTCCCTTACAGCTGAAAGAAGTTGGCTCCACAGGGTGGTACTTACTACCAAGTGCTCTATCAATACTGGCATCTCTGGCCAGGGTTTCCAACTGCTTGGCTTCTCTTTCATCCATGTCATAGGTTTCAGCCCCACTATCAAAGCATCGGAGCAACCAACAAAGAAGCAGCTCACCTTCATTGTGGGTAAAGTCATTTCTCATGAGGTGCAGTTCCTTTAGAGAGAAAGGCCGGACAAGATCCTCATCCTCATCTGCTTGTGAGCAGCCTGCCTTTCTATCTGCTTGAAAAGGGCCTGCTCCTCCATGTTTTAGAAGGGTCTGCTCCTTTGAATAGATCTTTTAACATTGCTTTTAAAAAGGGGTCCTCTACTGTTAAATGCATTCTTGTGATCTCGGATGGCTATTTCTTTGCTTTGCTCTTGGCCACAGGATTAACTTTAACTTTTACTGTTTGGGATCAAGTGGGAGTGGCTTTGGTCTTTGTAGCAGCAGCAGTGGTGGCAGCAACCTTGCCTGTGAGGGAGGGGCAGTGAGTGGAACATCTTCCTCTACACAGCCACAATACATTATAAATATTCAGCATCCCTACTGAAACAATCTATTTAGATCAAAAGCTGGAAGATTCAGCCTGAGAGAAAACGGAGAGGTAAATCTGACCCTGCCATTACCAACAGACCTTTCTGTTAATATAAAAATCCTCATTATACAGTGCCACCCTATACATCAGTATCAAAACCCCTGTTAACACTAAATAGCTTATCAGATGATAGATTATGGCTTTGGCTATAGTCCTGTTGATAAACCATAAAACAACCACATGAGCAGCTACACTGAGCAGTATTATCCTGGCTGCATACCACATATATGATTGCATGTTGGGAAGAAAGTCCAGCAGAAACATTGCAGAAAGTGTCTGTCCAGTTTTCAACCTGTCAACATATTCAGTAGAACCATTGCCCATAGCTATCTGAGGGATTCCTCCCATCAGAGCTGGAATTTTAAACATCAAGCCAATTAGTCAGAATTTATAGCCTGGGCTTAAGATACAGCCCCATGTTGGGTGCCAATAAATTGTTGTCACAGTTTGACTCAGGATCAGCAATTAAACCAGTGACAATAATGCTCTTGATCCCCTCCCCCTTCCACCCAGGTAGGGAAACACAGAATCACAGAATCATCAAGGTTGGAAAAGACCTTCAAGATTATCAAGTCCACCTGTCTGCCCTACAACCCTTAACCACTAAACCATCTCCCGAAACACCACGTCTACCCATTTTTTGACACCTCCCAAACCCCCCCGTCTACCCATTTTTTGACCACCTGCAGGGATGGTGCCTCAACCCCCTCCCTGGACAGCCTGTTCCAATGCCTCACCACTCTTTCTGTAAATAAATCACATCAAGGACATGGGGGTCATCAAGAGCAGTCAACATGGTTTTATCAAGGGTAAATCATGTTTGACTAACCTCATAGCCTTCTATGAGGAAATTACTAGGTGGATAGATGATGGTAGAGCGGTAGATGTGGTTTATCTTGATTTCAGTAAAGCATTTGACACCGTCTCCCACAGCATCCTTGTAGATAAGTTGATCAGGTATGGGTTTGGTGATCAGGTAGTGAGGTGGATTAGGAACTGGTTGAAAGGAAGGAGTCAGAGAGTTGTAGTCAATGGGGCAGAATCTGGTTGGAGGTGTGTGACTAGTGGAGTCCCACAGGGGTCGGTACTGGGAC